AATTTATCGCATGGACATGTCAATGCATAAATAATATTTCGTGTATGACATGACTAGAAGGAGAATAAAAACTTATTTATATTAACCATCCAGGAAATAGGTCATTTTAATCAATAAAACATACTGCTGAACAATTTAAAATGGCTTGATATCCATTGAGAAATGTATGTTTATGAGCTTGATTAAATTCAAGAATCGATTTTTTCGATCGATATTTCATGTCATATTGTGGATAACATAATCCACAATTACCACATGCAACTAATTCACATTGAACTTCTGGTTCTTGTAAACAAAAGAGACCTTCATTCAATGTACGTGATCGAGCATGACGAAATGAACATGTTTTCATGTAGAACATGTTCATTAGAAAACAATCCATGAATCCCTTAAAATTAAACAAGGATACTATTAACAAAAACCTATAGCATCAAATTGTAAAAAGAATTCTAATGCAATAGGATATTCTTTTTCATCGATTCGTTGAATTTCATGTGATCGTAGATTAAATATACGTATTTGTTCATAAGCTAGCATTCTCCTATATTTATTCAAACGTGTATAATTATAATCCAGTATAGATATATCAACTATTAAACTTTCAAGTAAATCACCAAAAAATATATGATATTTTTCACGTAAAGATGATGGTATAGTCGGATCATTGTCGATAATACCGAATGCTGACTTGTAAGTACCAGAGTTTTGACGAACTAATTTTGTTCGAGTCATTTCATGAGCTATTGTTTTTAAAAGTAATTTAAATATTTTTGTTATCTTTTCCAAAACTCATTTATATACGTGGTATATTTGGCAATAATGGATCACCATGATCCTGTTTATTATTATTAGTTGGATAGCATGGTAAAAATGACAATCGACGATGGAGATTTAGAAATCGTTCCGTCATTATGTTTGATATTGATGGTTTTTGTAAGACTACTGGTACCACCAAAATATCACTGATATCGATAATGGGTGTACATAAATCAATGATTTCTATTATTTCGTCCATATTAACATTCATTTCTTGTGTTTTCTATATATGTATAGAATATGAATGATCAATTAGAATTATTTCATTTTTTGAAAAGAATATTTACTAAATTTAATTTTCTTGGTTGATTCAATCTTATTGATTTTTTATCATCTTCATTCTTTTTCTTTATTATTCATCATGAAGAGCAACAATAAACTTGTTCGTAAACAAGTTTTATAATAATCTAGAAAATATAACCAATATCTATATTTATAATACTTTAACCAATCATT